ACTGGAGGGCAGTATATGAGATGGAGAGTTTCTCAGCCTTGGATACTAAGAAGGAGTCTTCCTCATTCTTCCTCTGTGGAATCCGCTGCCCTACATAGAGTCATCAGTGGAGCAGCCCTGAGGGTCAGTGGGACATGGCAGTCTTACTGTTGCCTTGGTGATGGTCAATGAGAAATGTCAGTTCTCTATGCTGCTTCCTGGGAGAACATCTGTTGATTCATTCAACAAAGGTTTATTGAGCTCCTAAAATGTGCCAGGCACTGTTCTAGGTAGAGAGATATGGCGGTGAACAAGGAAGACGGAAATCCTACCCTTGTGGCATTCTCTGGGGGGAGACAGAATAAATGTCAACAAATCAATTGATATTTCAGATAGTAATAAGCACTATAAAAAAGTAAAGCAGGGTTAGGAGACAGAGAGCCATGGGCGTGAAGTGAGAAGCTTCTCTAGGCAGGTCTCCCCGAGGAGTTGACATCTGAGCAGAGATTTAAGTCAGGTAAAAAGTGAACCACACAAAAATGTATGGAAAGAATGTTCCAGGCAGAGGAAGCAGCACAAACAAAGACCATGAGGAGGGTGTGAACTTGGAACGTTTGAGGAATAGCAAGATGCTGGAGTGAATACAGGGGAGAGGGAGAGAGAGCTGGGAAGGTGGGCAGAGACCTTGTAACATGTTTGGATTTCTTCAAGGTATGATGGAAAAATGCAGGGGATTTTTGAGCAAGGGAACGTGATCTGATACATGTTTTAAAAAGCAGACTGTGCCTGCTGGAGGATGGCTGAATTGTCAGGGGCCAGAGTGGAGGCTGAGAGAATGATTGAGAGTCTAGGGCAGTAGCCGAGTGAAGGGGTAGTCATGGATTGGAGGAAGGTGGGAGTAGTGAAGGGTGGTGAGAAATAGTTGATTTGGGATTTTTCTTTAGGTCTAAGGGAAAGCAAGTCAAGGGTGACCCCACGTCATTTGGTTGGAATACCTGATGAAGGCTGGTGCCATCTCCTTAGAAGGCAGCAGGGAGGGAGTTTGGAGCGGGGGGAATCAAAAGTCCTCATTTGGCCATATTACCATTTTTTTCATGATCATTAACAAAGTTTTTTAAAAACAGGTTTATTGATATACAATTCACATATTATACAACTCACCCATTTAAAGTGTACAGGTCAATGGCTTTTAGAATATTGTGAATATCTGTGAGAGTTTTGCGTCCATCACCACAATCAATTTTAGGACATTTTCATTAGCCCCCAAATAAACCCTGCATTCCTTAGCTGGCACCTGCCAATCCTTCCTTCCCCTTCCCTCTGCCTTAGGCGACCAAGAATCTACTTCCTGTCTCTATGGATTTGCCTATTCTGGACATCTTATATCAATGGAATAATATGACATGTGGTTCTCTGTGACTGGCTCCTTTCACTTAGCAAAATATTTTCCAGATTCATCCCTATTGTAGCATGTATGAGTACTTCATTTCTCTTTATTGCTGAATAATATTCCATTATATAAATACACTGCATTTTACTTATCCACTCATCAGCTGATGGGCATTTGGGCTGTTTCTACTTTTTGGCTATTATGAATAACGCTGTTATGAACATTTGTGTACAACTTAGTGTGTGGCCATATGTTTTCAGTTCTTGTGTATGTACCCAGGGGTAGAATTGCTGGATCACATGGTAACTTTATGTTTAACTGTTCGAAGAACAATTTTACATTCTCGCCGACCAGCATTATATGAATGTTCTAATTTCTCCACTTCCTTGTCAACATTTATTATCTGGCTTTGTGATTTTAGCCATCCTAGTGGGTGTGAAGTGATATCTCGTTGTGGTTCTGATCTGCATTTCCCAGCTGGCTAATGATGCTGAGCATCTTTTCATGTGTTTACTGGCTGATTGTATATCTTCTTTGGAGAAATGTCTATTCAGATCCTTTGCCCATTTCAAAATTGGGTTATTTGTCTTTTACTATTGAGTTATAATAATTTTTAATAAATACAAGTTTCAATCAGATACAGGACTTGAAAATCTGGTTCCCATTCTGTGGGTTGTCTTTTCACTTGTCATGATGTCCTTTGAAGCACAAATATTTTTAATTTTGATGATGTGGCCATATTACAATTAAGGCACCTGATAGGTAGTTGGGTATGTAAGCCTGGGGTTCAAAGGAGAGGTGGGGACTGGAGGTACGCATGTGAGAATTATCCATGTGTAGATAGTAGTTAAAGCCAGGAGGCTGGATGGCAACACATAGGAGTAAGTGTGGCCGGAAGAGAAGGGACTGGGGACTGAGCCCTGAGTCTCCCCAATATTTAGGGGTCAGGAAGAAGAGGCAGAGGGATGATCAAAGGAAGCCTCTGGTTCCTGGAGAGACCATGGAGGGAGGCCAGTCAGAAGGGCAGGGTGGACTTGGGATATGGTACTGGGTAAACCAAGCCTCATCACTGCTTTCACTGAGCATGGATCCCATTGCAATATCCCAACATCACAGCCACGAGGTCCCTTAATTGACACCACAGAAATTTGATAGACGAATTCTGTAAAGGTTACCTTAGGCTACACACTCCAAATCCCTACTCGAATGCATTTATAGGAGGAGATTGAAGTACTTAGTTATCTAGGAAGATTTATGACCTTGTTAAGATTAACACTTGTTACTGCTAATGGATGTGATGCTGCAAAGCTTTGACAGAACATATGCCTTGCTTTATATTTTAATGGAACATGCTAAAAGCTCCATCCCACAGGACCAACTAATTACACAGAAGCTTTAACAGAGAGAAAGCTCTAAAGGTCTGACTCAGACTACCTTTTCCCTTTGTTGGGGTCACCGTGACTTCTAGGATTTCTGAGATCAATAAAAGGGCCTTTAAAACAACAGTTCAAAGCCACGAAGGGCTGCTCCTGCTGAGGTGTATTTAAAATCCGTGGAGAGACAGGGGGCATGGGTCTCACAACACAACATGGTGTAGGGGAGTTCTCATTCATTAGGCCCAACTAAACTTGGGGAATCCAGTTTTCTGAAAGATGTGTGATTTTAATGTTAGCTTTAAATGTAACATGCTCCAGGTAGAAGGAAAAAGTCCAGACTCTGTAAAGAAAACACACAGAGAGAGTCAAGGCAGACAGATCCCCTCTGGGCTGCAGTTGATCCCAGAAGAGATGGAGAGTCAGTTCAGCCTTGACGTCAGTTTACCCCAGTCTTTCCGCTCAACTTTGGAGTGTGGCAAGTGCACTTCTCTGTTGGCTTCCCTTCTTCTACTTCAGCTGGTAGGAGCTGGAATTTCTCTCTTGTTCATTTCCTTTTTCATCTGCTAAGGGACCACAATGCAAAGGGCCTAGTGGGACAGTGGCTTGCATACAGAAATAGCCAGAAAATTAGGGCAGAGATCAGAAGAGTATGCAGATAAAACCTTCTCTTAAGGGCTTCCCTGGTGGCGCAGTGGTTGGGAGTCCGCCTGCCGATGCGGGGGACACGGGTTCGTGCCCCGGTCCGGGAGGATCCCGCATGCCGCGGAGCGGCTGGGCCCCCGTGAGCCATGGCCGCTGAGCCTGCGCGTCCGGAGCCTGTGCTCCGCAGCGGGAGAGGCCACAGCAGTGAGAGGCCCGCGTACCGGAAAAACAAAAAACAAACAAAAAAACATCTCTTAATAAACTGTGTTGCTAGTTTGGTGACCTTCAGTGGCGGATCCTGGGATCATAGCGATGTAGGGGTTAGGGGTACAGGGAGTGAGAGGGGGCACGAGAGGTGAGAAGGGCAGATCCTTATTAGCGAAGAGGATTCTGGAACGTTGGAATTGTCTCCTGGGAAATGAGGGAGGGTTGTGTTCAGGGAAGTTTCCCTTTCCTTCTCTGGGATCCCTGTTGCCAGTATCAGAGGTGTGGGGTGGACTCCGAGAGGGGACCAGTGCGAGCAAGCGGAGGAGTTTTAAATCACGTGGGGCTCATTCGGTACAAATCAAAGGTTCTGTCATGTCTGATTTCACGACTCTGCATCCTAGTTATAAATAACATTCCTGGATGGAAGTGCGACAAAGCTGGGAGCTATTTCTAGGGAAGGCTCGGTTCCAGAAGGGGGTCACATAGAAGGAGGAGGACTTGACTTCCCCACACTCCTAAAACAAAGCCCAGCTTTTCTCTCCCGGGAATGGTGCTTGGGAGGGTCCCAGAGGGACTGCGGGACAGGCCTAAAAGTGACTATGATGGCTTTTGACAAAACCATCGAGAAAGTCACTCAAGAAAAAAAAAAAAAAAGGTTAGGAATTTCCCCTAAGTGGCAGCATCTGACCTGCGGAACCGGAAGGCTTGCAAGTAGACCCCCCAAACCCCACCGTGGCTGGCTCGGGCTCAGCGACCCTTTTTCTGGGCCCCCTGCCTCAGCGCCCTCTCCCTGAACCTCCAACCCGGTCAGAGGGACCCACCGGGGAGAGGGGACAGAAGGTGCAGGTGGCGAGCCGCGACTCGGCCATCATTCCCCTCAGGGCCCTACTCGCCCCTCGCCAACCAGTTGCCTAAGCAAATCCCGAGTAATTGTTTTCCGGGGAGGGGCTGGGCGCGCTCTTTGGCGCCACCTGGGTCGGGATTCCCCCTGGAAAAAAACCCACCCGCGGGGGCTCCGCGGTTCTTAGTCTCGACCAAGATGAACTGGGGCAACTTCTGCAGTCTCCAGCGCGGCACGGAGGCAGAGACAGCGGCGGTGGCGAGGCCGGCTCGTCTGGGCTGGAGAGCGTGAAGCCGAAGGGGTGCTTCCGCCTCCAGCTCCTCCCTTTTGCCCGCGGGTCCTGGGACTCCAGCTCCGGTGCTCCGAGTGGTAGCGGCTGCTGCGCCGTCCGCCCGGGTCTTCGCAGCGGAGGGGAAGCCGCTCCCAGCGCCGAGCGCAACCTGCCGGAGTGGCCGAGCCCCGCGCTCCCGCTCCAGCTCCGAGGAGAGCGCAGCCGCAGCGGGGGCCGGGGCCCGAGCAGGGTGCCGCCGCCCGCTCTGGGGGACGGGCTGGGGGCGGGGCGGCCGGGGCCGCCTTCCTGGGCGCGATCCCCGAGCGCAGCACCCGGCGCTGCCGAGCCACCTCCCCCGCCGCCCGCTAGCAAGTTTGGCGGCTGCGAGCCCGGCGCGCCTCGGAATCGAGGCGCATTTGTTTCCTCCTGGCTTCCGCGCGCCCGGTTCGGCGGGGACCCTTGGGAGCGATGCCGAAGGATGTGATCTTAATTGTGTGGTTTTGTGTGTGCACCGCCAGGACAGGTAAGAACGGCTGGGGCTGTCGGAGGGATCCAGGGATAGGGGGGGAGCCGCGCCGCTGTGCCCGGCGCCCACCTAGGCGTGAGGAGAGCTGGAGCTGAGCTCCGCGCTGGTCCGGGGAAGGGCGTGGATGGGTCCCTCGAACCTCTCTGCCCCGGTCCAGGTGAAAGGGTGAAAAGTGGGACTCACAGGCTGGAAGATGCCCCCCGAGGAGTGCCCCCTTCCCGGAGGACACGGCCTGGCGGACGCAGGAGTGAGGGGCGCGGCCATTCGGGCGCACCCTCCTGCTGCTAGTAACCGGCTTCCGGGTCGAAACCCACAGTAGGGCGGGTCCGCGAGCGCCACACCCGTGAACTTGACAGGTGCGGTGGAAACCGCTGTCCTTGCGTCCCGCCGGGCCGCAGAGGGAGCGCTTCCGGCCGGCGGGCGCTGCGAGGGCCGGGAGGGCGCGGCGCGGGGTGAGGGCTGCGGGCGATCCTGGGGTTCCGCGATCTCTTCCTCGTCCCCTCCTGACTCTTCCCCAGGGGAACTCCAGGAGTGGTCTCTCTTGCCACCCCTTCCCCCCGCCACCCAGAGGGCAGGACAAACGGGGGGGGGGGAATTGGAACTGTGGGGGCAATCCCGGGGAGATTCTCTCAAGCTCCGCACTAGTTTTCCCATGCAATAACTGCACGTTGGGGGTTGTAAAGGGGAGGCAAGGATAATTGGCGTAATTTTCTGAAGTCCCCACTTCTTTCTGCCTCCAGAGACGCAGTTGTGAGGACTCTAAGCGCGCCTCCTTCCTTCAGCTTCTACTCGCCCCCAGCCCCCATGTCCCGTGGGGTTTGGAAACCCTCTCTCAGCCGCCTTCTCCAGGGGACTAGTAGTAGATTTGGGAAGGTGGGGGTGGGGTGGGATGGAGGAGAAAATTAGCAAAAATAGGACCCTCCCCCCAAGGGTGGGGTGGGGCGTCGCGAGGTTTCATCCCTACGCTAGCCATCCTCGCCACGCGCGGCCGACTTTGCACCCCAGAATCGGTGTGTAGTCATTCCCTCTGCTTTTCTCTTCTCTTTTATCACTCTCATTTCCCTTCTCTAGAGGCATAGCCTCCTTCCCATGCAGGGTTTATCTGTAGAGGACTGGGGAGGGATGCCCGGCCTTGGTCCGCTCAAAAGTTCCCTCCGCTGGCCCTTTCCATTTTCCCCAGGACTGAGCGGGAAGCAGCTTTTCCTTTGCTTAATGAAAGAGCGACGGGTGTAGACTTCTCTGCGGACAGAAGGCATCCCCATCCCTTTCCTATCTCCATCCGGGCTCCCCAGGCTGCCGAGATGCCAAGACTCGGTCCAGCCTAGAATAGGTGCTTCTTGAGTTCCGGCCCATCTAGATGGGTTAGACTTTTAAAAACCGAGAACACACTGGAAAAAACGCGCCCCCGGAAGATCAGGGCAGGCGAGGCTAGTGCAGAGCCTGGGCTAGTAGCCCTGCGTGCAGAGAATTGGAACCGAAGAGAGAGAAACTAGGTGGGGGAGAGGGCAGCATCGGGCGTTTCAGGTCTCAAGTGCATATTACAACCAAATATACTTAACGTCCTTTGTTCTCATTACTCTTTTGAAAAGTCGGCAAAAAGTGCTTCCCCCAGAAGTGGACTGTGTCTCCAGGGCGCGTTGCTTTTGGAGATCTTTAACGACACTGTCTTTTCCCCTTCCCCACATCAAGCCCCTTTAAAACTTGTAAACATTCTCTTGCAGGGAAGATTTACTCCTGTATCCATTCATTCAGCAAAGAGTTGAGTGTCTTGCTGGGTGCCAGGATTACTTATATAAAGAGGAACCGGCTTGCTTGACTTCCAGAAACTTACAGCTTAGCTGAGAATCTAGATAGAAACTGAAAAGCATTTTTATTGTACAGCTTGATGGGGGTGGGGGGAAGAGAGGTGGGAGTACAGGAGTTCGTATTGAGGAAACAGAGGAGGGGAGGTAGGAGTGAATTCTGGGGAGGGGTGGTCGGTAGTCAGGGAAGGCTTTAATCAGGAGGTGACGTTTGAAAGTTGTGTCTGGAAGGCTTTGTAGGGAGTTTTCCAGGTGCACAGGGGAGGGAAAGCATTCCAGGCAGAGGGCACAGCTTGTCCAAAGTCAAGGAAGCATGGAAGGATCTGCCCATTTGTTGTGGCAGTTGCTTAGGGAGCTTGAGTTTTCTATGCCACTTGGTACTCTTTGAACACCAGAGGCAACCTATTTCTTCTACAAAAATTATCAGAAGAATGAGAAAGACAGGGGGGAATTATATCTCACTTCTTTCACTTACAATTTCTTGCAGCTTGAGGCGGTCTGATGAGCAATTTTTTTCTTTGGTTTTGGCCAGGAACCATCATACCAGCATCACACATCCATCCTCTGAGGTAGCTAAGCCTAGCTCTCAATTAGTTTATCAGGATCCAAACAGCCACTCGGAAAGTTTGTCAAGTGGGACAGTTGCTGTCTGGGCTGTTAACAGTCCAAGATGAAATAAACACGTGGTTCACTGAGTGAGCTGCTCAGATATCACTGCCTTTTAATGGAAATGAACAGATGGTATCAGGCACATTTTAATTAAAGCAGCACTGCAGTGCAGTAGCAGTTACATATGAAAAGATCTAATGATAGGTGTCACAGGAAGCTGCTTAAATTACTTATTGTTCAGAGAATTTGTTTTAAAGAGTAAAGTGGAGTCAAGAATAGGTCCTGTTCTCCAGTTCTGGTTATTTCTGGGTGAAAAAAATCTGAGATTTCCAGGTACATCACTAATAATGAAAATTTAGAAGGCTACAATAACAGCAGTAATAATCCATTATGTCCATGAGTTTTCTCCAGTAACCTGGAAGTGTGAATAACGTAAAACTCAGTGATTACTCCCCCATGGCTTTCAAGTGTGGTTTGGTCACCAGGGCAATGGTTAGAGGGAGCCCCTGGGGCTGAGTGAATGCCTTTTGCTGCCACCTGCTGGAAAGGAGAGCTTTTCTTTTAGAAGCACCTCCCAGGCAGTTCATTAACTATGAATTGAATAACAGAGCTGTGAACAAAAGCCCCCAGCCTCCAGTGATAATGTGAAATATTGGCTGATTTGGAACAGGCATAGAGCATATTCTTTAAGGACGTTGCTTTTGGGGTAGTAAGAAACTCTGTAGGAGTCCAGAGGCCCAAGTCCCATCAAATGGTTGTGAAATTCTGCTGGTAAATGAGGTCTTGGAGCATCTCTCCAGCATCATATTCCCCTGCATGGGCCAGAGGAAAACAGCTGACATCACGCACAGTGAGCTGGATTAGATTTGGAGTGAGCCAGATCCAGGAGGATTTGCTTGGGAGCTTAGGCCTTGGACCCTGAAGGTGGATTGAGTGGGCTTTGGGCCTCAACACTCTCTGGGGTAGACTGAGGAGTGGCCAGCAGCAGGTGTCATGGGAGATTAGGGTGGAGATTCTGAATCTCAGAGCCAGGCCTCAAGTGCCTCTGTGACATTGACATGCTGCCTTCCAGGTTTTAAAAAATATTTTTTTTTCCCCAGAAGCTTTTTATCCTGCTTAATTCTAATACCCAGCTTCAGCCATTTGAGAGCAGTTATGGCCAAAGTAGAAAACTTCAATAGAGGTTCCTTGGAAAGGTCAAGAGCTCCATGCTTGGATAAGAAGCAGAAACATTAAAATAAAAAAAAAAAAAAACTTTTATGGAACCAACACTTTCATACTGTATAAGGTTCAGGTGAAGCCATGCAAATGCTGCCTTATTAATAGATTTTCTGATTTTTTAGGCAGTGGGCAGAGTGCTAGTAACTGGCTTCCGGGTCTTTTACTCATCCAGCTATTGGCACCAGGTATTTTCATCTTGAAGGGGACCACTTAGAGAAAAGAATACAGTTCTGTTTCTGGAAGCCTAATTGATTTCTCTTGTTCTGTTTTAATGGGATGTTTTCATGACTAGAGGAATGCAGTTATCTTAAAGCCAGGGAAGCCCCTTCGCTTGCAGGGTATAGGGGGAGGGGTTAATATAGATTTAATATATAGATTTCACAAAGCACAGCCAGGGACTTCCCTGGTGGCGCAGTGGTTAAGAATCTGCCTGCCGATGCAGGGGACACGGGTTTGATCCCTGGTCGGGGAAGATCCCACATGCTGCGGAGCAACTAAGCCCGTGTGCCACAACTACTGAGCCTGCACTCTAGAGCCCGCGAGCCACAACTAATGAAGCCCACGTGCCTAGAGCCTGTGCTCTGCAACAAGAGAAGCCACTGCAATGAGAAACCCGTGCACCGCAATGAAGAGTAGCCCCCGCTCACCGCAACTAGAGAAAGCCCACGCACAGCAACGAAGACCCAACGCAGCCAAAAAATAAATTAAAGAAAAAATAAAAAGCACGGCCAGAGTGAGAAGCCCTTCTACGTCATCTGGGCATGTGGAGGGGTTGGGAAAATGGGAGCCACCTGTATCTTTCGTATGATTCCAGTGGAGTTGAGGACCAGGGAGCTGGAATGGTCTGGAGAGCTGGTCCTATGAAAGACAGATGCAGCAGACCCCAGCTGGGCACCAGATATGTGCTAGGAGTGTTCATGCCGTTATCACTGAAACCTCATGAGGCTGGGAGGTGGGTATTATCCCCATTTTACAGTTAAGGGAAATGAGGCTCGGAGAAGTGAAGTGATTTTTCCAAGGGCACAAATTTAGTAGGGAGAAGAGACAGGACTGAAAGTGGCTCTTAGTTTAGTGTTGTTTCCACAACACTTTCCAGATTGAGGTGTTCTCACATGGAGATGGGAATCCAAGGGCACTATTGGGGTGTTCTGCCAGTTCTACAGAATCTGTGTGGGTGCCTTTTAGGCTTGTCTGGTTGCAGGGCTCCAAGTTTGGGAGATTCAAAACATCTTAAGGATAACCATTATCATGGGTCTTTAGTTCCCACGTTGGTCAATTACTGCCACAATAATATTGTATAACAAGCCACCCTAAACTCGAAGCAACATTTCTTTTGGTTCATGTGTCTGTCGGTTGGTTTGGTATTGGCTCACTGGGGCCGGGTTTGGCTGGGAGTCGTTCCAAACCCGGGTAGGGTGTCTGCTCCGTGTGTCTTAGTCTCCTTGGAGCAGTGGGCCATGTTTTTCTCACTGTGATGCAGAGGTACAAGAGAACAGGCCCCACCACACAGGCACATCCAAGCCTCTGCTTGTGTGACATTGCTAACATCCTAATGACCCAAACTAGTTACATGGCTGGGCTCAAAGTCAAGGGATGGGGAGGTTTACTCCCACTCTAGTGGAAGGACATGCAAAGCCACATAGCAAAGGGTGTGGCTATGGGAGGGGTAAAGATTTTTTTTTTTAAATTTATTCTTGGCTGCACTGGATCTTTGTTGCTGTGAGCAGTCTTTCTCTAATTGCCCTGAGTGGGGACTACTCTTGAGGCGCGTGTTTTGCGGTGGCTTCTCTTGGTGCAGAGCACGGGCTTTAGGCTCATGGGCTTCAGTAGTTGTGGCACACCGGCTCAGTAGTTGTGACTTGCGGGCTCTAGAGCTCAGGCTCAGTGGTTGTGGCGCATGGGTTGTGGCGGATGCACTCTGTAGCATGTGGGATCTTCCCGGACCAGGGATGGAACCTGTGTCCCCTGTATTGGCAGGTGGATTCTTAACCACTGTGCCACCAGGGAAATCCAGGGGTAAAGATTTGAAGCCAAGAATTCAGTCAACCATATTCCTTTTAGAAAGTTTCCGGGGCTCGAATGCCATCCTGTCCTCTCGTGGTATTCCCCAGGTATGCATATTGCCCTGAGATCACTGCACCCAAAGCAATGATCATACATCCACTCATCAATTAATTAATCAGGTCCTAAATTCAGGGCCTGACATATATGAAGCCTTGTGCAAGTCACTGAGGCTACAGGGATGCTTCCTTCCTCTTGTGTCCAGCTAAGGGCACATTTCCCAAACCATGTTCCAAATTCCTGGCCAGAGATAGACTAGTGTGGAGGTCCTCTGAGATCACTCTTAATTTAATTTCTGCCATATAGGTATAGAGCACTATAGATCAAACTGAAATATTAGTTCCTTTCCTGCCTTTTCAAGGTGATCATAAAACTGCTGGTATCTGAGCTCACTTGGAGAAAAACATTGCCAGTCTCAACAAGAGGCTTATGGTGCTGTGACCTGGGCTGATAGATGCCCGTTAGCGTGGTACTTCTTGGCACAGAGTAGGTACTCGGTCAGTCATCAGTCTTTGTGGATGGAGTCTGTGTCAAGCAGGTAGGATGGAACCTTAAGTGAGATCATAAGGTAAATCAGAGCACATCCCACTCTTCCTCCCCTTAAACACGTACCTTAAAGCCCTCCAGTGATACTCCATTGCAATTAGAATACTGTCCCTTTCCTTGTTGTGGCTCACAAGGCAGGGCCTTCTCTGGGGCCTCATTTTCTACCGCTCTCCCCCCGGGCTCACTCTGCTCTGGCCACACTAGCCTTTTCACTGTTTCCTCTACACTCCAAGTTTGTTCCTGGTTTGCATTTGCATTTTCTGTTCTCTAAACCTGGAAAGCTTTCCCCTCCAGATCTTCCCTTCCGGAATAACTGCGCCATCGCCAGCCGCTATAGTCATCAGGCGTCTGCTCAGAGGAACCTTCCTCTATCACCCTTTTTAAGCCTCCACCCAAGCTGCTTTCTGTTTCATAACTCTGTTTTATTTTCTTCGTGGCATTTATTGCCATCTCAAATTATCTTATTTATGTATTTGTTTATTTTTTGCCCTCTCCTCACCCGCTGCCCTAGGAATGCATACCCAGGGAGGCCATCTCCAGTGCCTTGCAATGCAGTGTGTGTGTTACATAGAAAGCACTCAGTCATATCTGTTGAAAAACGACTGAATGAATGAGTTGTCTTTGGGTAAACTGGTCTCGCATCTGGCTGCATTTCAGAGGACGAGGGGAAGCCTGACAAAAATTGAGAAGGCAGCTCTATGCACTGTGCCTTTAATTTAACCCTTTGTCCACCTTCGGCTCCAAAGACCCTTCCCAGAGCCACCTTCTGTGGACAGAAGCCTAGATTGTTGCAGCAGCCCCTGTTTCCTAACAGGAAAAGAGTGAGGAGAGTGTACATTTCCTTCTCCAGATCTGTGGGGAAAAGGGTGAGGGCAGGAGGACAGATGAGATTGTCACAGCGCTTGGTGCCCTGATGAAATGCACTCGGTCTCTCTGGAACAAATTGGGTGTAAGCTCTCCAAATCTTGCCTCAGCGACTGCATTACCACCAGACAAACGTTGACAGTTGTTTCTGATTAAAGCATTTCCAACTGTGCAATCAGAATTGCACTACTGAGGTGCTAAGTGTAGACAGGCACAGCCTTTAGGAGTGGCTTAAACATGGTCCCTTGGAGTGATCGCTAGCCTTATTAATATATATAATTGGAAGCCACTTGGCAGTCATGAGTGAATCATTCTGCAGAGCACCCTGTAGATGAGAGACAGGCTTAAGGATTTGCCTTTTTCAGATGAGGCAAGGGGGGCTCAGGGCCCTGTTTCTCTGTGCTAAAGTTCTCCAACAAGAGTTGTCAGGGTGTCTAACTTTTCACGAATCCCCTTGAAATCTACATCCATTGTTCTGGGGATTCTCTTTCCTGGCCAGTCCCTCTGCCACCCTTATCCATCAGGGTCAGGATCCCTCTCATTTTCTTTCTCTTTATCGAAGGTGTTGTTGCCTCATTAATAGTGCTCTGTGGAGGTGTTTCCTGGTGACGGTGGTGTCAGATTTCACTACTGTATCAGTCTCTGAAGCAGGTAGATCAGGGCCACAATCCTGTATCCACAGTTCCCAAATCTAAAAAAGTTCAGAAACCCAAAGTTTCTTCATAACTCACCTGACAGCAAAACCTACCCTGAGCTGAACTCCTTTGGTGGCAAAACTTGACCTGAACAGATATGAGGCTATTTATAGTCTTTATTTATACCAATTAGAGGACAATATCAGACTTTTTGCTCTACAAATATTGTGTTTGGTGATGGGGTACTGATGCAGACTTTGCTGAGCGTGTTACATAAAATGTAGTATATGGGCCATATTAGCTTTCCAACAGATGATCCAGTCTGAGTTCTGAAATATATTTGGCCCCTAGGGTTTTGCATAGGGGTTATCAATGTGTAATGGGGAATGGGAGAGGGGGAAGGGATGAAAAAACCACAGTATCAGTGGGGGTGATGGAGCAAAGAGTTGCCTTCATTTTCCATCCAGGAAAAGAGCATCTCTAAGCACTCATCGCTGGGTTCCTTCTATTCCCTGCCACTCCTGGCCCCTGTCATTTCTGTTCCATGTTGCCGCAAGCAAGTCAGCATTTTAAGACAAGATGGCTCTTTGTTCCTTTTCAGTGGTGGGCTTTGGGATGGATCCCCACCTTCAGATGGATATTATCACTGAGCTCGACCTCGTGAACACCACCCTTGGAGTCACTCAGGTGTCTGGACTGCACAATACCAGCAAAGCATTTTTATTTAAAGGTAAAGGCATTTTTCTCCTTTGCATGGGGGCAGAACTTGGGGAGGAGGGTCTGTCTGGGGACTGTTCCTCTGGTGTGTATTTGTCGGAGGATCATCTCTGCTATTTCCCTTGTGTTACCGTCATGAGGAATGTTCAGAAATGCCGAGGGTGTTTAGATATTTGGGGGGTGTTCTGAGGGTGTGGGAGGGGGCAGTCGGGGGAGTGGTGATGAAATATTTGGCTTGGCAGTGACATATTTCCCAGGGGATTTTGGTGGGGCTCTAAAGTGGAATGAATTTGTAAAGTCCTTGAAAGCCATTGGCAGCCACATTATTTTTACAGGATATTTCTTCTACTGTTATTCATATCTTTACCTATACCTACGTCCATTACTGTTCCTGTATCTTTATCTCTCATTTAATGGGTGGACCATGCACAAAGAGGATGTTTCATGGCTGCATTTTCTTAGGGGTACAGCTTACTTGGTTCTGCCCACTATAAACTTGACTATAATTCATTAAATTGTTCAGCAAGCATTCATAAAGGCAGTACAGTGCGCTTCTTAAAAGCCTGGGCTCTGGAGCCTGACTGCCTGGGATTAAATTCCAATCCTACCACTTATTGACTTTGTGACTTTGGGCGATTCCTTAGGCTGACTCTGCCTGTGTCTTCATCTGAAATAATAGTACCTAATGGGGCAGGTGCAAGGATTAGAGGAGCTAATCCATTAAAGTGGTTCAAACAGTGCCTGATAACATAGTAAATCCCTGGTAAGTATTAGCTATTATTATGGAACTCCTATTGTGTACCAGGCAGCATGCTAATAGTAGGATTATTAGTAAGAGTAAATAAATGTAGTGAGAGAAACAGTCATTACACAAGTAATTATTGACTTCCAATGGCTATACTTACCATGAACGGGGTGTATAGGTTGCCAAATAAGAGTATACAGGGAGATCTGATTTATTGGGAGTGGGGAGATAGTGGTGGTCAGGAAAAGGCTACCCTGAAAAAGTGATATGTCAGCAGAAAAGTGAAAAATGAATAGAAAGCTTGGTGTAGGAAGAGGTGGTGGCTCAGAGCATTCTGGGCAGAGAAAATAGTATGTTGGAAGGTCTTAAGGCAGAAACAAATGGAAAGACATTTAGCATGGCTAAAAGGTGGTGAGTGGCTGGAGAGGTAGGCAGGGCCTAGGTCACACTGGGCTCTGGAGGCAGAATTGATATTTAGCTTATATCCATGGGCTTGGGTGTACTGATGCTTTATGGCCAGTGTCTATTTTGATAGATGGGAGGCCATGTACTTGTTAGCTATTGCAAATATTACCCTTGCCCATAGGCCATGTTAGATTTTTACTTTACTCTCAGGGGGCCTTTGATGAGTTGAAAGAGGGGAGTGATCTGATCAGATATGGCAGCCTAGATATTCCTCTATGAAAATGCCTGGCAGGCTTCTTTTAACCCAGCCTTTTGTGAAGATAACAAAAGGATTATTTTAGAATGACTGAAGCAACATTATGGGATGAGATATATATATTTCCTGTGCAGAGAATTTAAGCCTTCTTAATATATACAGCACATCTACAGATACTATATAATAATATATAACAAGACTACAGATATGTTAATTTCCACTTACTCTTACTAAGGAATTGGTGAAGTAAGTAAACTGGGCATGGTTAAGAGAATACAAACAGGATTAGTTTTCTCTTTGCATTGTGCAAGGTCTCTTCAGTTACTGTTGAGAGGCCATTCCATTCTTTTTTTTTTTTAACATCTTTATTGGAGTATAATTGCTTTACAATGGTGTGTTAGTTTCTGCTTTATAACGAAGTGAATCAGTTATACATATACACATGTTCCCATATCTCCTCCCTCTTGCGTCTCCCTCCCTCCCACCCTCCCTATCCCACCCCCTCTAGGTGGTCACAAAGCACCGAGTTGATCTCCCTGTGCTGTGCGACTGCTTCCCACTAGCTATCTATTTTACATTCGGTAGTGTATATATGTCCATATATACACTACCACTCTCTCACTTTGTCCCAGCTTACCCTTCCCCCTCCCTGTGTCCTCAAGTCCATTTTCTAGTAGGTCTGTGTCTTTATTCCCATCTTGCCCCTAGGTT